AATGCTTAATAATGCTGATAAACTGTCTGAGGCTATAACGACACCTTGGTTCTGATTATTTTCTTCCACCCACCCTAATGCCAGTAAAATTGCTACTAACTCCACAGTGTAAACTGACAGGTAGTCTGTTGTCCTCTTTTTGACTACTACTTCATACCGAGGAATAAAAAATGCTGCACCAGTACGGCCTGTTTCCGGCTGCTTTGATCCATCCGTAAATATGAATAATTCCTCTTGATACTGCTCTACATAGTTTTGAACTATTATCCACTGTGGCATTATTTTTGAGTTTTCTTTTAGTATTTGTTGTAAGCTTATATTTACAGATGGTTTTATAAATTTCCAGGGTGGCATCATTGATATTGCCACAGTGGGTCCTACTTGCAACTGATTGAGACCTGCATTTTGAGCCTTAGCATTCCCCACCCATCCAAAACTGTAAAAATTGCTTTTATTATGCTCTGCGCATTCTTGCAAGACAGCTTTTGTGGGGTGCACCATACTATGTCCTTGTAAATTAGTCCAATACGCCAACATGATCTTGACCCTCCTAATACGTAGCGGCATCTCTCCTGCTTCCACCTGTAATGCAGTTACTGGTGATGTTTTAAATGCTCTGGTACAAATCCGGAGTGCCTGTGCCTGCTCCACATCAAGCTTTTTAAGGTTAGATTCCGATGCTGACATATACGCTAAGCAACCATAGTCAGAGGCAGTTCTCATGAGAGCCTGATAAATGTTTATTAGCGATGCTCTACTCGCTCCCCAGTCTCGCCCTGATAGACATCTCAACACGTTGTTGATCTTCTTACACTTATTTCTGACCTTATCAATATGCTGACACCAAGTCAGCCTCTCATCAAAGAGAACTCCTAGAAACCTCACCACCTTAACCTGTTCCAAATCTTGTCCATACAATTTCAGTGGCACTACTTTGTGGCGCTTAGAGAAGCATATAACTTGAGTTTTTGGGATTGAGAGTTTAAATCCCCATTTATAAGTCCATTGTTCAACTTTCTCTATTGCATTTTGCATTTTCTTTCTTAGATATTCTACATTTCGACCCCTAACCCAGAGTGCTCCATCGTCTGCATAAAGTGACTTACCTATATTTCCACTTACCTGATCAAAAATGTCATTTATCATAATATTGAACAGTATGGGGCTGCAAACACTACCTTGTGGGGTACCATTTTCCACTATATGCCTACTTGAATACTCTATACCAACCTTAACTTCTATTGTTCTTTTGTCCAGGAAGTCTAATACCCAACCGAATAATTTACCTTTTATTCCTAATTTGTCAAGTTTAATAAGAAGTCCATCCTTCCACAGCATATCATATGCTTTTTCGACGTCAAAGAACACGGCAATTACACTTTCCTTATTAGTTTGTGCTTTCCTAACTTCTGCTTCTAAGCACAAAACAGAGTCCATTGTCCCCCTACCCTTACGAAATCCAGACTGATACGCTGAAAAGAGACCCTTACCTTCCATATAGTAACTTAACCTATCTGTTACCATCCTTTCCATGACTTTCCCTAATTGTGATGTTAACGCTATAGGTCTATAACTTGACGGGTCTAAAGCATTCTTACCAGGTTTGAGTATTGGGACTATCACTGCCTGTTTCCACTCACTACCTGCACTACCTGCATTCCATATCATATTGATCAGCCTTAATACTACCTCCAGTGATACATCTTTCAGCATGCTATACATGCTATAACATATAGCATCTTTCCCTGGTGTTGTTTGTCGCGCATTTAAGATAGCCCTTTTTAATTCAAACATAGTAAAAGGCAGGTCCATATCTCCTCCTGATGCAGATCTACTTTCTTTTATTCCAGGGTTTTCCAACAGTGTCTGATTCCTATGCTGCTTATCTATTGTGGATAAATTTCCAGAACTGTGGATTTTCACAAAAGTTTCTACCAAAAGCTCTGCTTTTTCTGCATTACTAACTGCATTCTTATTATTGCTACATAACACTGGCATTTCCACCTTTCTACCTAATCCACTCATTCTTCTGATTGTTCCCCATATGTCTGACAACTGAGTTTCACTTCCAATTTTATTGCAATACTGTCTCCAATACATGCGTTTGACTGACCTAATCGTTTTCCTAACTACTGCTTGTGCCCTTTTGTAGCTAATTAAAGTTTCTAGTGTGTGATGAGCTTTAAGCTGTCTAAATGCTTTATTTCTTCTTTTAACTGCTATTCTACAGCTCTCATCCCACCACGGCACGCTTTTTCCCCGTTTATTTCCTGTACTTTTAGGAATTGTTTCTTCTGCTGCTTGTATAATGTTTGCGACTACTACACTATTCATTTCCTCCACATCTGTTATATCTCTACTCAGTATTTCCACACACGTAGTCTCACTAATTTCTTGAAATGTCCCCGTCAGCTTTATCTAATTTCCACCTTGGTATTTTCACTTCCCCATCCTGGTGTACCTCTATGCCAATCCTAGTTATTATTGGATAGTGATCACTACCCACTGTCGACCTACCAGTTACTTCCCATGCACTAATTCCTGCAATTTCAATTGACACTAGTGTTAGATCAATAGCACTTTCTGTATTACTTGAACTATTATACCGTGTGCCCTTTCCATCATTAATACACACCAACACCTTATCATCTATAAATTTCTCTATTGCTAATCCATTTATATCTGTGTTTTTACTTCCCCATAATGTACTGTGTGCATTAAAATCCCCACATACCACTATTTTGCCCTGCATTGATCCGGAAACTAATTCAAACATATCAGTACTTAATCTATTGCAAGGGTTGTATAGTCGCTGGTCCTATAGAGGGCGCTACAGGATAAGAAATCTTCTTCTTCTTCTTCTTTTTGTTCAATGGCCGTTCAATCCTTAGGAGTATTACCGCCACCTACTGTATATCTTGCGCACATGGGTGATGAATCTGTACTGAAGGGGGAAAAAATAAAAAATAAAAATGTTTTTTTGTAATGCCCCACCCACACCAGAGGATCAGAGCCCAAGCTTCAGCTAGCGTTGTGTGTTAATTCAGCTATAAACAAGGCATTACAAAAATGAGGAACACGCTCAATTTCTACCTTATTGTACGATCTCTGATGTTAACTTTAAGTTCACTTACTGCAGTTTAACAATGGAGAGGCGGACTTGAGTTACAGCCTTCTCTGCATTCATTCTTCTTGTTCTTCTTTTTGTTCAATGGCCGTTCACTCCTTAGGAGTATTACCGCCACCTACTGTATATCTTGCGCACGTGGGTGATGAATCAGTATTGATAACAACAGAAAAAAAAATAAAATAAAATTGTAATGCCCCACCCACCCCAGAGGATCAGAGCCCAAGCTTCAGCTGGCGCTGCGTGTTCAGCTCCTCCAGCTTCCACACTGTGCTCCTCAACCTCCGAGATGGGCAGAAGCATCATGATCCTCATCCTCAAACACTAAATCCTGTGGTCTAATCCTGTGAGCTCTAAAAATGTTAAAACCACCTTAAACATCTGACTATCACTCAAACCCTTTCTCAGAAGCTCCACGACACTCACTGGTCTGTTCCTTATATTGCTAAAAACACTGTTACGCTGATCTTCATATTTACATCATCAGGCTTTATTTAAGACAATATTTGCAGATTTACTGATTTAGAATTGTTTTTTGCTAGAACAAAAAATTGGATTAAAAGTTTGTTTTACTATATTGATGTAAAAAAATACTTTCGTACATAAACTCAAAATGCTAAAACTAAAAACATTCTTGAGCAAATACAGTTCACAAATTTCTTTAGAAAGAAGTATTTTTTATATTTATATTAACTATATTGTATCAATATTTTATTTTTAAAATAGATATCACTATTTTCCCACCATGATTCTGAAAAAAACCCCAGACAACTAATCAAAATAATATGTAATTTACTAGAGTTTCTAGTAAAAATTGCTGTATTTATACATGTATTTATATAATACAATATTCAACAAATTGATAAAAAAAAAAGTTAAACAATTTGTAAGTCGCTTTGGATAAAAGCGTCCGATAAATGACTAAATAAATAAATTATATATATATATATATATACATACATACATTTTATCTATAGACAAAAATAGACTATAGATATACAGTATATGATCCAAAGTAACTAGTAACTAACTACTTTTTTTATCCAATACTTTTTTACTCTTACTCAAGTAACTATTCAGACTTTTAGTTTTACTTGAGTAAATATTTCTATAAGTACTTTTACTTGAGTACAGTTTTTGGGTACTCTACCCACCTCTGGAAAGAACAAGAGTGGAACATTCAGAACAAGACAAACAGCTGCAGCTGGCCAAATTAAAAATGGTGAGATCTTTAATCTTATTAGTATTAAAATATAACATGTGGATTCTGGGTTTGCTTTTTTATTTCTCTATCTGGTTTCACAGGTCAGATTCCCTGCATTACTCACTTTGATGAGGTCCAGACGTGCCTGTCCCGAATCCAGCAAATTCTGGTTGAGCTCCAGAAGTTCTGGGAGAAAGTGGGATCCCTGCTGGACACGCTGAAGAAAGAGACCTTCGCTGGAGAGGCCTGTATCGAGGAGCTCACTGATATGAAGGAACAT